GCCCGGAGTTGGGAGGTTAAAGGTCCGTCAGTCAGGCGATAGAGTTCACAGACCGTCCGGAGTTGGGAGGTTAAAGGTCCGTCAGTCAGGCGATAGAGTTCACAGACCGTCCGGAGTTGGGAGACTAAATGCCCGCCAGTCAGGCGATAGAGTTCACAGACCGTCCAGAGTTGGGAGGCTAAAGGTCCCTCAATCAGGCGATAGAGTTCACAAACCGTCCGGAGTTGGGAGGCTGAATGCCCGCAAGTCAGGCGATAGAGTTGACAGACCGTCCGGAGTTGGGAGGCTAAAGGCCCGTCATTCTGGCGATAGAGTTCACAGACCGTCCGGAGTTGGGAGACTAAAGGCCCGTCATTCTTGCGATAGAGTTCACAGACCGTCCGGAGTTGGGAGGCTAAAGGTCCGTCAGTCAGGCGATAGAGTTCACAGACCGCCCGGAGTTGGGAGGCTAAAGGTCCCTCAATCAGGCGATAGAGTTCACAAACCGTCCGGAGTTGGGAGGCTAAAGGCCCGTCATTCTGGCGATAGAGTTCGGCTAAAAAGAGATGTCTCTTAAACTTGTGTTTTAGGTAAAAAAAACTTATTCTTTTTCTTCTATTTTACCACGGACTTACAAATATCTATTCTGATATTCTAAAAAGAGATGTCTCTTAAACTTGTGTTTTAGGTAAAAAAAACTTATTCTTTTTCTTCTATTTTACCACGGACTTACAAATATCTATTCTGAATTCTAAGTCCGTGATCTAACGTTTGTTAAGGTTCATGCCCCCAACTCCTAAGTCCGTGATCTAACGTTTGTTAAGGTTCATGCCCCCAACTCCTAAGTCCGTGATCTAACGTTTGTTAAGGTTCATGCCCCCAACTCCTAAGTCCGTGATCTAACGTTTGTTAAGGTTCATGCCCCATCTCGAAACATTATTTTGTGGTCTTAGGAATGTAAGTTTTAAACTGCTTTGTAACAATGGGATGGATATATATATATATTATAACAGATAAAAAGCAATATCACAAAGTGGAAAAAGGCTTATAATCAACTACAAACGTCTTGGAATTTATACATATCAGTTTAATTTGAGCTGACATACGTATATTGCAACACATCAAAACAATATAACAATATAATTACCAGTCGCCCCCTCCCCAAACAAAACAAAAACAAAAACAAATATAAAATTTAAAAAAACACAGTAATGAAATTTTATGATCTTTAAGAATGCAGACATATGCACAAAGTTACAAGAAAGAGTTTTAATACTACATGTAAGTATTTTCCGTTTGTGCACCAAATGTGTCATTGGGGCTGACATCTTTATTTTGGCAATTTAGGCAGGCTGACGATAGCCCTTGGTTTTGTCGCAGAAATTGTAATTAAAGAGGTAGCCGGCACCCTTCAAGATATACAAAGTCTTATGTATCCTTCAACTATTTCGTGTCTTTTGTGTCCCGAATGTTTACAGGTTTTGTTGGCAAGAGATATACAAAGTCTTATGTCAACTATTCCGTGTCTTTTGTGTCCCGAGTGTTTACAGGTTTTGTTGGCAAGTTTATGATGTATCGACGTTCAACACTGTACATAATTACACCATGTCGAATAAATATCCATGCGTCTTCGGAAGAAATGATTTTCCAACATTCAAAAAACGAAGAAACATGAGTTGACTTCTTAATAGCATTAACAATTATACTAACAATTAGTAGATTTGTAACTTTTTTCACGAGGAATATTAACAATTGTTAGTGTGTAGTTACTTCCGGTGTGTAGGCGAGTGCTGGCGAGATGAAGATGCCCTTTCCTAGCCGATACTGTAATCCGGACCTTGTTTTACGCCAGTATATGCTTGAATCACAGTGTATGACCTGTTTCAACCTTTCAACAATGGGTATCATTGATCGATTCCCTTAGTTGTTTTTCAGCCTTCTAACGTTCGACATTGAGCGTCCAAAACGCAATAATAAATATTCATTAACTTTTTATATAAGGTTTGCGGGTATGCCAAACAGTAAGTTTTTGATATGACACATATTTTGACTAATTTCGTAAGAATGGTGTATAAAAAGTTAAGTTCGAACAATATCAACACCGGAACCATATGCGACCTCATAACCGACATTGAAGAGCAGTGGGATTCACAATATCATTATACTCTACCATTCAGAGGAAGGGGCTTAACTACAACTCTAAAGATCACAACATTGAATAAGTCTGGTGAGACGAAGCAATGCACATCAATTTGGTCTGGCAGATGGCCGTTCGAAAATGAAAAGGAAAGGTGACAACACCAGGATTAGGCCAGTGAATACATAGGTTTGTCTAAAGAAAACAATTCTCCCTCCAGTCTGTTGTTCGAAAAGAAACGACAGTTGATAAACTCACGCCAGTTCCTTCCACTACACCATAACCATCCTACCATATTGTAAGACAGGATCAACATGGTTTGAAATTCAAAATTACAAAGATTATCCAGAGCAAGTCCTCATACCAAATTATGACAAATTACAGAGACATGTTTCTGATATAACCCTGCAAGCACGAATTTGGGAAAATGCAATTACCCATGTGAAAAATGGTCAGTCTCTAATAACATTGGTGTCTAGTATCACTCCATATGGTCATACATCAATTATATCGGCTAAATGTGAAATATTTGGTCTGGTGTTGTCATTTAAGACGAACACCAAAAAGCTAAGAACAGAAACCAGCAATCAGTCTAACATAGAGGTTATGGATCAGCATATCTAAATGAAACTTTGGGTACCATGTGGTCTGAAGCGTGATGCGTTTGCCAAGATTGAAAATGAAATGAGTGACTGATGATAGAAGAAGAAAATTATCCAAAACAGTGCGTATTCTAGTCGTAAGTGCGGTGAGATGTACATTTAACAAGGGGTCAAAGGAATGTGCTGCTTCAGGAAATAAGGCAAAATCGTCTTCCATACTACCCCATGATATCAGCAACTATATTCATTATGTATATAGAAAGCATCAAAAATGCACTTATTTTTATAAAGTTATGGTGTTGAGACCTATGAAGTGTTAGATGACGATGATGATGAGACCTATAAAGTGTTAGATGACGATGATGATGAGATCTATGAAGTGTTAGATGACGACGATGATGAGATCTTTGTAGTGTTAGATGACGATGATGATGAGACCTATGAAGTGTTAGAGGACGACGATGATGAGATCTATGTAGTGTTAGATGACGACGATGATGAGATCTATGTAGTGTTAGATGACGATGATGATGAGACCTATGAAGTGTTAGATGACGATGAGACCTATGAAGTGTTAGATGACGATGATGATGAGACCTATGTAGTGTTAGATGACGACGATGATGAGACCTATGTAGTGTTAGATGACGATGATGATGAGATCTATGAAGTGTTAGATGACGATGATGATGAGACCTATGTAGTGTTAGATGACGATGATGATGAGATCTATGTAGTGTTAGATGACGATGATGATGAGACCTATGTAGTGTTAGATGACGATGATGATGAGACCTATGAAGTGTTAGATGACGATGATGATGAGATCTATGAAGTGATAGATGATGATGATGTTGAGGTCTTTGTAGTGTTAGATGACGACGACGATGATGAGACCTATGTAGTGTTAGATTACGATAATGATGAGATCTATGTAGTGTTATATGACGATGATGATGACGACGATGATGAGACCTATGAAGTGTTAGATGACGATGATGATGAGACCTACGAAGTAGTTTCAGGTTTAATCATAAAATTGTGTTTTCAGATGTGTATGTTATGTTTTATACCATCAATTTCACAATGAATTTTCTAAAGCAGACATTTCTCTACTGTTTAGATTAGCAAATGAAGTTTTTTTCTAGATTTTGGGGACACTGGGCTTCTATAATTTATGTTGATAATAGTAGTTCCTACCTTTGATGTGAAACTTTTTTATATGTGAATACGGTTTTTGTTACATTTATAAATAACATTGATACAAGTCAATCCTTTCTGTATAGCGTCACGTTCTGTACACAAAATATTTTCATTTCAATTGGTTCTTTTTAAAATTTTGGACCTAAAAAATTCTGTAGAACTTGAAATTAACAGACTTGATTAGTTAGCAGCATTTCTGTGAACACTGTTATAGAGTAGTAACATAATTATTGGAGTGAACTTTTGTTTCTGGTCAATTGTGGTGTGAAATTAAGGAAGTTGTGACTGTTCAAAAATTTGAGTTACGAAGAGGGCCATGAACATTATTGTGTGCTTCAAAACTCAATCTAATATCAAAATCTAATCAAATTAGGACCTGAGTGAAGGTGTGAGTGTGTGTGGCGGTGTGTGTGTTTATCTTAAAATCCTCGCTCCGTTTACTATAGTATCCACAAAACACATACCAAGGTTGATGCCGTCTCCGACATGTAATCTACCTGTCCGCCGCTGTTTAAAGCCCTCGAGTACTTTCATTTTCAAATACTCCAGATAACACCTTTGATCAAAATTAAACGTTTTCGACTAGATAAGGCCCGAGAAGCATCGAATGATTATTTTGAATAGTGGAGTCGGACTTTATTGTTGAATCCAATGGATTTGTATTTAAAACCAGTCGTGTTGCTATTTTAAGACGCGTGTGGAAGTCCATTCATTCATTACAAGTTCTAGGTCAAACTGGTCTACCTTGTTAAGGATTTGGTCTACTTCATACAAATACCCGTGTCTGTGTGTATACAGGGTGTGTTCACTTAACATGGCGGAGTAAGGAGCTCGGCACCCGAACACATACCTTCTAACCTGTGACGGTAGCTAGTTCTGTTCTGGAGTATTTCTGAATACCAACACGTTCCGGACTTGTGTGTGTGTAGTTTCCCTTGAATATTTACCTGTATCGTACCTGTATTTGTTGCCTTAACGAGCAGTTACAGGTTACATACCTGTGCTAACAAGCGGGCACAAGTGTATCAGCTAAAAATCGCGGAGCACCAAAATGTATTTTGTGATATGAAATATTGATCTTGTGCAATGGAGCTAAGCCGAGCGTGAAAATAAAGCTAATATCAACAGAATGGCAAGTAATTCGGCGAAAACGGTGAGTAGCCAGCAGTTTACAAACTCATGAAATATTTATACAATGTGAGGTGTAAATAATCAATTAAGTGTTGTTGAAAGTGAGGGCTGTCTACTTACAGTTAGATATAAGTGATTACGACTGGAATCTGTCTTCCGATCTATGCGTGAGACAACACCTACACCTATTCTATATGCCACCTTTAAACTGATATCACTTAATCATTGGGATTCCGTGTATCTACACATTAAAAAATTCCACATCAATATATAATTTATACCTACATATCTATATGATCCTCAGGCCCGGTGTGTTTCCAACGCTGAGCGGATCAAGCATCATTATCGCAGGGATTTATTCTTAATGTTGTTCTCGTATGCCCTTTATTTGTGACACACGACGTACAGTATGAAAACTTTACATTGATTTTACAATAAGACACGGTACTCGCAGCTGTTTCCATCAACAGTAAAAACCGATCTTGTAATTAATATTGCAAAGATAAAAATAGCCTTTATTTTTCCGTTCTTACTCCGGATAAAACAATTTCGCAAAACGGGCTGCGCACCATAGTTTCATATTCTGTGATGTAAATGTATATCAGTCTGGCGGTACACGTAATCAGTCCGTTCTGTGACAGTTGTCTGTTCTGTACATATTATGTCCTTCTCGTGTTGACTATCATTAAGATGTTATCGCTTCACTGAGCCAATCATTTCAAACAAAATATATTTACACGTGTAATTTACTTCTGCTGTCAGCACGGGATCACTTCAGCTCTCAGATTTTATCAAGATTCACTTTGGTACGTGTTTTTCTTTGACACGCTCTCTCCGATTGTAGTTTTTCACTTCAAAACTGCCCCCACCCACCCCCACCCCATCTTTGATTTTTGAAATGGACAATGGTTCAGATCTAGGACACATGTCGTCACAGAGAATTACGCTTATCAAAATATCTTAAACAGACAAATTTAATAAAAAGAAGTTGAAGGTAAGATGAAATGACTTGACATGTGAACACATAAGTAAGTTTGGATCATTTAAACTATTTCTCGTTGTCAAATTGTCATACTTAAAGTACATTAGGCAGTCTCAATGAAGGGGAAAACACGGTCACAATCGAAGGAGTGAAAAAGACTGTCTCTATGCATAAACATTGTTCTGGAGGCAAATGAATCATTTGATGGAGAAATGTGACTTTGGACATGCAAAAATTGTGAATATTCAACCAGTCTAAAAATATCGAAGTGTCGAGGGAAAAACCAATATAAAACAAAACAATCGTAAAGTGTTCCTGATAACCAGGTGCTGTGGTAGACTTGAACAGAATTCCCGAAATCAGGAATGAAATAAAATGGAAAATTTAAAAAAAAGACATCATGCGCCTCTCATTAATTGTGTTTTCTAATATGTTAGGACATTTATTACTTAAATTCACTGAACAAACATTTATTTCGTAACGAAGGCTGTGAGTATCACATACATCAAGTATAGAAGTTATCTTGATGCGATTTAAATTAATTTCCTTTCCGAATTGACAATATTATTTGTTATTTTGTACCGCACACAGTTGTCTGGTATATTACGTGTGCCGAGTACTATTGGGATGGGAGACAGACACCTAAATGATTTCTGATCCACTACAAAGGGATTGATACTAATTAAATCCACATATATTGTTATGCTTCCTTGAGTAACTTTTATGAGAAAGAAACTGACGCGGTATTACAATTGATAAGCCTCCCTCAGGTGAAAATCGAACAGGTAGGCTTATCAAAAATAGAAATGTACACAAAGAATTAAAAGTACCTTGTGTATAGGCGAAATACCGCATTCCATACATACAATATCATTATTCATATCAGGTTTGTCTACGTCATACCGTAAGGTAAGAACTTGTTTTACCTGTGTACACGTGCAATTCAAATACTGTTTAAAATCGACTCGTGCCTGCTATTCATTTTTATATTATGTATTCAGGAAGTGTTACTGAATTTTTCCAAGTATAGATAACTCGATTTGATACACATATTAATCTAAGGAAATTGATTAAGGATTTTAGTCCCTCGTCCTTGCACATTTTCACAGTCGAGTCGCCAACTCTTAAACTTTGGTCTTAGTTATGAAAACAAACTTATAGACTTAAGAATTAGTTTGTATGTCGTCTGTCACATTATTTCTTAGTATACCTGATCAACATTCTGCTGGTCTTCACCAATCATTCCAAACTCTCACACGTTCCAGTTACCGGACGAATCACTTTAAACCGGACCATTAGAAAGTGACCGTGAAAAATAGTTCAATAGAGAAACTTAAAGGAGATCGCTCTCTTCTGGTCAAGTGCGTAATTTAATAGGTTTAACATGACTTCATGATTTTTGAAAATAAAAAAAAAATTTGGACATTTTTAGCCAAATGTCTCCAGTTAAAGTTCTATTCTATCGAAGTGACATAAAATTCTTGGAACTCAAGGTTATTTTATGTAATCGACTAAAGTGTAGACTATATATAAGCAATGTTTAACGAGTTCTTTAAGACCTAGACCATGTTCGACAACACATTGACAGAGTGGTTTACAGTAAATTCTAGCGGACGACCAGGATGTATGCCATCTCTGCTAAAAACAGTTTGAACCCATGCTTATATTTATGTTTGCGTTATTTTTAGTCACATCCTGGATTGTGTATCAGACCAGGTAAACTGGTAGACAGGTAAAAAATCGAACTGATATCGATAACATTTAAAATTCTTGGCTAGGATAATCTCGTCCTTAATGTTATAAGTTCATATTATGACTGTCTTAATGTCACCTGTGGCATTTTATACGGTCACGTGACACGGGACTACGTAATATAACAATTGCCAGGGCCAGGCAGGAAGAGAACAAGGAAAGGACAGCATTTAACATTTGCCAATAAAACCAAGAGATACTGAATGTACACGAGCACAGTAGTGTTTTAACTCGTGTCAATTACCTTAGTATTTCAATATCACACAGATTAGATCAGCACGTTCAATTTTGAAGAAGTTTTGTTTTTAATCTTTCAACCTGTTTAAGAAGGTGTAACTTGAGAAGTTTGCAATACATGTATTTAAAGTAGATTTACATAATGTATTGCCAGCATTGAAGCAGAAATATTTGTAGTTCCGATTGCGATTTTTATAGTACTGTAAACCGGACAATTTATCATATTGTACCGCACTGTTCTATTTGTAATAAAAGGGAATTTCTATTTTCGTCAGGAATCTTTATTAACCAATCAAAAAATGTATTTCTTCAGTGCCCATCATTTGGAATCGTAAACATGGAGGCATACGGCCGGCAAAATGCTGATTTATGTAATGTATGTTAAATATGAGATAGATGGTTAAAAAATTGAAATGAATTTTGAATTGTGTGTCAGACATGGTGATACAGTCGAGGTATGGACGTGGTGAACGTTGTACAGTGTATGACTGTGCGGGTTAGAGGGTATAGCATGGTGTACGGGTTAGAGGATATGGCATGGTGTACGGGTTAGAGGGTATGGCATGGCGTACGGGTTAGAGGGTATGACATGGCGTACGGGTTAGAGGGTATGGCATGGCGTACGGGTTAGAGGATATGGCATGGCGTACGGGTTAGAGGGTATGACATGGCGTACGGGTTAGAGGGTATGGCATGGCGTACGGGTTAGAGGATATGGCATGGCGTACGGGTTAGAGGGTATGGCATGGCGTACGGGTTAGAGGGTATGGCATGGCGTACGGGTTAGAGGGTATGACATGGTGTACGGGTTAGAGGGTATGACATGGTGAATGTTGTACAGTGTATTAACAACACCGTGTTATACTCTCTAACCCTTACAGCTATATACTGAACATCGTGTACAGCGTCCATACTATATCACTTAAAGATAATATTCTTATGTGTTTGGAACTTTGTAAAATCCTTTGTACCCTTTGCATCCTTACCTCGTATGTCTACCTCTAGTCTGTTCCTCGTTTATAATATATGTTTTTCCTCGTAACCGGTATTGGTATATTGTACCCTGTAAACGGCTGATGCATTCTGTACATACAGATCTCCAAAGTCACTACATCCTCGATTAAAGTTACCTTCTTCGCCAGCGTATCAAATAGACTTCCTGCATGTTAGACTTGATTAACAAGTCCATGATGAAATAATATACCATTGTCATGCCAAACTGAACACCATTAAAACATCGCACATTTGATATCATAAACTACAAACACGACATATTACCACCTATAATGGTGCTGATTTCAGCACACAGTGAATCAGCAAAATTTGATGTTCCTGCACGATAACAATGTATATATATCATAAAACGTGTCTAATTCAATGACTATATATTGCACACTGTAAATGGGTCGTTAAGGCGTGCAGTTTTGGCAACATACACCCGCATCAAAAACACAAACTTTATAAGAAATAAATGAGGTAGATTTTTTTTAACGAGAATATGGCGTCCGCTGTGAAGTTTAAACCAGGACGTTCAAAATACAGTTGCTCTGCCCAGGTAAATCCCTTTTTATATTTGTTTAACATTTTCGACTTGATGTAAGAGAAAGCCCGACGATATAGCGTCAGAACACAGGATAATACAGTTTTTACATAACATGGATTTGATTTGCTCGGTGCTGAATTCCTACACCGTTTGCTGGTAACTATACGACGGGCTGGATCAGTAGTATGTTTACGTTATACGGAGATTTACTACTGTGTCAATAATGGGTACATGTGTTTTCGAAGTAGGCAATTTTTTCCAGACACAACTTCATTCCTTCTCGTGAAGAGCTGTCAAAACTTTTTCAGCATTTCTGATCTTTTAAATGAAACACATCACATTCACTTCCGGATATTTTCAAATATTACTCATTTACCAGAATCGGTTCCAAGCATATTCCTAATGTTTAACAAATTATCCATATACACAATGCTACATTTGATAGCTGAGTGGATTTACTTCGCGATTTCCGGATTATCGAGTTTCCATGGAATATTTAAACGGAAAA